GCGGGGGTTGGGAGGAGGGACGAGGACGGGCGAATAGGGGAAAAGAGGGGGGATTCAGAGAGGCTCGGGCCCAGCTTGGTACGCTCGCGCCTCATCTGATGTCCTTTCCCACCGCCCCATCCCGTCCCGTGGCGCTAAGTTTAGGTCGGGCATGTCCCCCTACAGGCGGATTTTGGTCGAAAAATTAAAGAATAATCAAAACATACCCCAACATGTTCAAAGAATACCCAAAAAATCGTCCCCAAATTATTTTTCGACTATCTGGGAATATTCCTCCTTTAAAAGGAAAGGCCCGACTTAACGCCAATTTCTAATTATCCACGGACACATGTCATAGCCGCCCTGCGACTACCCCGCGGAAAGACCACTTCGAGGCATGCGCCATCGGACAGCACAGGGGAGCTGCGTGCACAGGAGGAGGAGGAGGTGACGGTTGAGCAGGAGGATGAGCGGGAAGCCCTGCGAATTATGGGAAACGCATTTTCCCTTGAAAAACTCTACTCCATGGGCCGGAAATGCGTTTCCCATAATTTTTGAACTATAGGAAACGCAATTCTGGACGACTGCGGGCGGGGCAGGGGAAAAGGAAGAGGACGAACAGCAGCAGCGGGAACTGCAGCGGAAGGATCAGGAAGAAGAGGAGGACCAGAGGAAGGCGGAGGTGGACTGAGGGGGGGGGGGGGGGGGCAGCGATGAAGAAAGACTCGGAGTCAGAAGAACGGCACGCGCTGGGCCGGGACGAACAGCAGCAGCAGCAGGAACCGGAGTGGAAGGAGCGGAACAGGTGGGGGCCCAAAGAATATACACCACCACCACGTCGATTCCTTCTCTCTCTCTCTCTCTCTCTCTCTCTCTCCTATTTCCAGCGAGAGGGAGGTGGGCAGGGAGGTGGTGGTGGTGGTGTATATTTTTGGGCCCCCCAACAGGAGGACCAGGGGAAGGCGGAGGAGGGGGCATGAGGGGGGACCACAGTGAAGCTAGGCTCAGATCCCGAAAAGTGGCCCGCGCTGGGGCGAGAGCGCCAGTCTGAATGACTGTAGCAGAGCGCCGATACGAAAATGGGGCCCACGCTGCAGCGGGAGCGCCATTTTGAAACACCGAAAACACTCGGGTTGCAAAAAAAAAAAAAGCTTGAAAAAAACGACTCTTGCAAATCCGGTGTAACAAAGCATGCGGAGGGGTCGGGTCACTTTTTGATCATCTTCGGGGGAGAAAAGAAAAGTTTTCAGTCTGTGCCATTGCGCAGGAGAGGGGGGTGAGAGTCATGGTTTACGCGTGCGCCTGGGACGTTCATTCGCCTCCGCTCGCTGCCACCTGCAAGGTGGAGTACGCCTCCGCTGAGACTTGCACTTCCGGCTCAAAAACGAGCACGTCGTGACCTGGCCTAGGAAGGCACCAACTATACACCAACACCGATCCTGGCCCAGGATCACCCTGGGCCCAGGTTCGGTGTACACGCCCTCCTGCCTTGGGCAGGAAGGCATATGCACCGATCATGGGCCCAGGGTGATCCTGGGCCAGGATCGGTGTTGGTGTCTAGTTGGTGCCCTCCGATGGCCCGCTCCAGAAGCTCCGCATCCAGCAAGCTGCTCGCTTCCGCAAGCTTCCGCCGACCTCCCGCCGGCCTCCGCCTGCGGCGCCGCCCTCGCGCTGCTCAGCGCCGGCCTCCCGACGCGGCTTTTCCGCCGAGGACGCGCTGTCAGCGTGCGGACCCGTCGGAGGCGAGGCTCTGCCTGAAGCACGCTGTGCGGAGGCCTCCATCCTCCTCCTCCTCCTCCTCCTCCTCCTCCTCCTCCTCCTCCTCCTCCTCCTCCTCCTCCTCCTCCTCCTCCTCCTCCTCCTCCTCCGCCTCCTCGCGATCCGTCAGGCCCCTATGGGCCGCCAGGCATAGCAGAAAACCGAAACCCCGACACAAACTGAATCCATAGTTTCTCTGATTGAGCGATTCTGCTCGCCGTGTCATCGAGACTCGGCGCTCGTCTGAGTGGCTCTCGCTGGCGCGAGCGCCGGGCGCGACCTTCGACCCGCCCTGGGAGTGCGGGCACAAACAGGAGGCATACTGCTTTGCCACAGGCGGGGCGGGGAGATGGAGTGGAGAGAAGGGTTGCCGAGGAGAGATGAAGAAAAGAGGGGAGGGGGGCAGGAGTGGGAGAGGAAGGGAGAGGCAGCGGGGTAGAAAGGTCGCTCAGCCGAGGCAAGCCCTCATCTTGTAGCGTTTGACAGTGGTCCTTCGAATGCTGAACAAGTGGGCGGCAAATGTGCACCAGTGCACGTGGAATGCCGAAACTGTCTTCCCTGACTTCCTCACACACTCCCCGTCCTGACCCCCTTTCCGCCTCGACAGGCGTGGAGGCAAAGAGAAGGACGATGAGTCGCCCTTCCATCCTTCTCCATAATCAATCATCATCGAATCGGAAAATCGAATCGAATCGGAATGTGCGTCGGATCGGGACGCATCGGCACGGAATCGAAATCGACTCGGATCGGCCGCGCCAGGATGCACAACGGTGCCATGCGACCATCGGACCGCGCAGGATCGACTGACCATCGGAATACGCTGGGATCGGCCAAGACCTACATCGAATCGAATCGCTCGGATCGAACTTGTAGCCCTTCGGGAGCGGCAAAGAGGGGGGTGTCCAAGAGGGGGCGGTGCAAATCATGACCGGCGGCATGTGCGCGGCCCAGCGGGGGGGCCAGGGACGCAATGAAAGAAGAAGAGGCGCTGTAAAATCTGGGGGAATATCATGACCCCCGCCATGATATCCACCCCCCCTAGTCATCACCCCCCTCTTTTCCGCCCCCGAGCCCTCCCTCTCTCGACCCGTCGCCGCGCTGCAGCTGCGCTCCCCCACTGGCACCGCACCCCCCGCCCGGCCCAGGCGAGCGCCGCGGCCGCGGCGGCGCGCCGGCGCAGGCGGAGGCGGGGCGACTGAGACGGGGGGGGGGGCGGCTGAGGCGCATCGTCCTCCTCCTCCTCCTCCTCCTCCTCCTCCTCCTCCTGAGGCGGAACGACTGAGGCGGGGGTTGGCGCATCGGGGGAGGAGAGGACTTGCAGACGGATGTGCAGTCACCGTGCTGCGGTGAGAGAGCACTGGATAAGGAGCCATTGGACAAAGAATCCAGGGGCTGGAGGCAGGTGGAAGACCAATCGTGGATGGGCCATGGATTCCACTGCCGACCTCAGCAGTTGAGGAGTCCTCCAGGGCCTGCGGCCCCCTGGGCGCATTCCTTAACGAACGCCCCCACCCCCCACCGCACCAGAAGTAGCACCGAAGAAGGAACAAAGGAGCCTCTCTGGCCACAGCGGGCCCGGGCCACAAGCAGGCTCCACGACACCGAGCTAAGGAGGCGGCCCAAAAAGCCGAGCCCCTCCGGAACCCCAAGCGGTCCTTCCTCGGCGCGGTGATTGTGAAGGAGCTCAGGGAACTGAGGGGATCGAGGGATAATCGGCTGGGATTGACAGGAAGTCGATGGGACATCGAAGTGAGACGGCGGGGAAACGAAGGGGATCTGAGGGGAATTGAAAAATCTGCACGGAAGTCAATGATCCGAGTCGCCTGTAGCCTATGGGCAACCACATGTGAACCCTACCCCTACAGGGCAGACGCCTGAAAGGCCACTTGGGATTCAGAACTTCAAGAGCGCACTGCTCCCAATCATGAGCAAGCCCCGGAGAACACTGCCAGCTTCCCAACTCACGGGAAGGATACCCCACCGTGTCACAACGTGCCGAACAGAGGCTCCGAAGCACGCCTGCAGCCAGGTGAACCCTGGCCAGGGGCGCCCGATGGTGCCGCCCGTGCGGGCTGAAGAGCTCGGGGCGGAGGGGGCCGCGGGGCTGCCGAGGGCGGGGAGGGCGGCACTGGCAGGCTGAAAACGGAGGGGGCGGCAGCGCGCCGCGCGTGCAGGAGAAACGCGTCCGGGCGGCAGGGGGCGGGGCTGCGGCGCAGGGCGGCCCGTGCGGGATCGGACAGGCCCGCGGCGGAGGGCTCGCGGGGGCGGGAGGCGGGGGGCCCGCAGGCCGGGACGGAAGGGCGGCGCCGCGCGCGCGGGGTGCACGTGCCCGGGCAGAGGGCGGGGCTGCAACGCGGGGGGGCCCCTGCGGGAGCAGACGGCGCCGCAGCGGAGGGCCGGGGGCGGGGGGAGCTGGGGCGGGGCGGGGCGAACGGGCGGTGCCGCGCGTGCGGAGGCAAGTGCGGTCGGGGCGGAAGGCGCGCAGGGCTGCGGGGAGCGGGGCGTGGGGCCCAGGCGAAACTCGGCCAGGCGGAACTCGGCCAGCTGGCCTCGGCCAGGCTGAACTCGGCCAGGCCGGCTTCAGCTTGGCCGAAGGCAGCTCGGCCGAGGTCTGGCGGCCGAGGTCAGAGTGGCCGACTTGTTCCTGGCCGAGTGTAGTTTGCTGAGCTGTGTTGTTGAACTTTCCCAGCGCGAGCTGCAAGCTCGATGCCCCATGCTCCGTAGTCATACGGGCCAGCCGCGCCCACGCACGGGAGAGGAAGAGGAGAGAGGCGGCGGCAGCAGCAGCAACAGCAGGAGGAGAAGGAGGAGGAGAAGGAGGAAAAGGGGCACGGGCACGTGCGACGATCCTCTGCGGCACAAACGGCCACTTGCGATTCGCGTGCGAGCTGATAAGGTCGGGGCGCAGGGCGCGAGGTGTGGGAGCAGGAGAGGGAAATACATGTTTTACGCTTGAACCACGTTGCTTACGGATCGCAACTCTAAATGCTGGACCTGGACACGAGCGAGTGCGTTCCCGAAACACCCGCCAAAATTTCTCATCGGTTCAGCTTCTCCCGCTGCAATGAGGCCACAACCCTAACAAAACGTGAAACACAATGTACTCCAGGGGGTCGCTCGCAGTCTTGCAGGGACCGGGTCTGTGCAGAGAGGGCCCTGCCGGCCGAGGGCAGGGAGAGGAGAGAGGGCGGAGGACACCACCACGGCCTGCAAAAGGGCCGAGCACACAGGCGCCGGACGCACAGCGCCCGGGGGCCCTCGGGAAAGCCAGCCGCCGGGGCCGAAGACACAGAGCGGCCCCGGGGAGCGGGAAGAGCGCGGCGTCTCCAGGGGCTGCCCTGGACGGAGGGAGGCACACGGAGCAAGCACTCCAGCCTTCGTGGCCGTGCCCGCCCACCAGGCCCAGGTCCAGGAGCTCGCGCCACCCCGAAACGGCCCCAAGAGGGAAGCGCGAGAGCGCCGTCTGGGCGCTCGTGCCCCGAGAGCGCTGCCCGGTCCTGGGGGCCGGCCACGGCTGGGGCCCCGGAGCGAAGGCGGCCCACCCAGGGGTCCCCAGAGCCCCGGGCCCCTGAGAGCCAGAGGGCTACGCCAAAAATATCCTCCTCCTCCTCCTCCTCCTCCCTCCTCCTCCTCCTCCTCCTCCTCCTCCTCCTCATGCTCTCCTCCTCCTCCTCCTCCTCATCCATCATCATCATCATCATCATCATCATCATCATCATCATCATCATCAGTCATCATCATCATCATCATCATCATCATCGTCATCGTCATCGTCATCATCAGTCATCGTCGTCGTCGTCGTCGTCATCATCATCTCGCCTCGGGGTCCTCAACGACGTTTCCACTTGCCATGAGCATCCGTCATCATCCCCATTACAATCACCATAACCATGTCCATCTCCATCATCATTACCGCCGTCTTCATCGTGATCATCAGCAGCATCAGCATCATCATCGTCACCATCACCATCATCATCATCATCATCATCATCATCATCATCGTCATCGTCATCGTCGTCGTCGTCGTCATCATCATCATCATCATCATCATCATCATCATCATCATCATCATCATCATCATCATCCCTCCTCCTCCTCCTCCCTCCTCCCTCCTCCTCCTCCCTTCCGCCTCCCTCCTCCCTCCTCCCAAGTTGCCCCCCAAGATGGCCTCGGGGTCCTCAACGACGTTTCCACTCGGAGGCCTGTCAGAGCTGAGAGGCGGAGTGTCCAGCACCCAGGTCTGAGTATGTGCATGGAGGGCACTACTGCCCCGAGTAAACTAATGCCGTGCCCATTATTTGAAACTCTTGGAGGCGAGACGGGAGTGGTACGCCTCAAGGGAGCGGGAGACTTTGGACATATTCTTGAGCACCGCACGTAGCTTGGCACCCGAGTCGTCTGGAGTTAAGACCTCTGCATTCTGCTAGGATCGCCTCCTCCAGCTCCCCTAAAGCAGCCAGGGGAGACGATCCACTCTGACTAGTGCCTGCGCGAAACGCGTGGGGCTGTCTCAAAACCATCTCCTCCTTCATGAGTCCCAGCCGCTCCCTGCGAAGGGAATGCAGCGCTGACGAGACCGAAAGGTTGGATGTTTCAGCCATCCATCCCTGCAGCGTAGTCTCGACCGGAAAAGCCTGAATGAACCCCGTTCCTTCTCCTCCTCCTCCTCAATATCATCATCAGCATCATCATTATAACCATCATCACAATCATCGCCATCACAATCATTATCATCATCATCATCATCATCATCATCATCATCATCATCATCATCATCATCATCATCATCATCATCCTCATCCTCATCCTCATCCTCATCCTCATCCTTATCCTCATCCTCATCCTCATCCTCATCCTCGTCATCATCCTCATCCTCATCCTCATCCTCGTCATCATCCTCATCCCCATCCTCATCCGCATCATCATCAGCATCAGCATCACCATCACTCTCATCATCATCAGCATCATCATTATCCTCCTCAGCATCATCCGATTCATCAGCATCGCCAGCGTCTTCATCATCATCATCATCACCATCATCATCATCATCATCGTCATCGTCATCGTCATGGTCATCATCATCAACACCAAGAGCATCCATCATCGTCACCGTCATCATGAGCATCATCACCATCATCGTCATCGTAGTCGTTATTATCATCATCGTGCTCATCATCATCACCACCACCATCATATTCATCATCATCATCATCATCATCACCATCATCATCAACAACAACACTAACATCAACATCACCATCATCATCGTCATCGTTGTAAGCATCATCATCATCAGCATGAGCAGCGACATCGTCATCATCGTCGTCGCCATCACCATCACCACCACGACCAACCCCATCATCGACATCGTCAGCATTATCATCGTCATCGTCATCGTCAGCATCATCATCAGCATCACCATCATCATCACCACAATCATCACCGTCAACATCACCATCACCATCCCCATCATCATCATCATCGTCATCATCATCGTCATCGTCATCAGCATCACCATGATCATGCTCATCCTCATCATTATCGTCATCACGAGTATCATTGCCCTCATCATTATCAACACCATCCTCACCACATCATCATAATCCTCCTCAGCATCATCATATTCATCAGCATCGCCAGCGTCATCATCATCATCATCCTCATCATCATCATCATCATCATCATCATCGTCATCATCATGATCATCATCATCATCAGCAGCAGCATCCATCATTGTCATCGTCATCATCATCATTATCATCAACACCATCACCGTCACCATCATCATCGACATCGTTGTCATCACCATCATCGTCAGCATCAGCATCATCATCTTCATCATCGTCCGCATCATCATCATCATCATCATCATCACCACCACCACCATCATCATCATCATCATCATCATCATCATCGACATCATCGTCATCATCACCATCAGCAACAGCAACAACACTAACATTAACATCACAATGATCAACGTCATCAGTATTATCAGCATCATCATCTGCATTAGCAGCGGCATCGTCATCATCGTCGTCGACGCCATCGCCATCACCGCCAAGACCATCCTCATCATCATCATCATCATCGTCAGCATTATCATCGTCATCTTCATCATCAGCATCATCAAAAGCATCATCATCAGCAGCACCATCATCATCATCGTCGCCGTCAACATCAGCATCACCGTCCCCATCATCGTCATCATCATCAGCATCATCATCCCCATCATCATCATCATCGTCACCATCAGCATTATCATCATCATGTTCATCCTCATCATTATCGCCCTAACCCGTATCATTGCCGTCATCATCATCGACACCAACATCACCATGCCCAGAATTGTCATCGTCATCATCATCGTGATCGCCAACTTTATCATCACAGCCATCATCGTCATCAACAGCATCATCGTCACCACCATCACCATCGTCGCAATCACAATCACCATCACGAGCAGCATCATCATCGTCATGGTCAGCGGCATCGTCATCATCATCTTCATAACAATCAGCCATCATCATCGCCACCATCAACATGAGCATCAGCATCAACATCATCGTCACCATCACCATCACGATCACCATCACCATCATCATCATAATCACCATCATCGCCACCGTCATCAACGTCACCCTCATCATCATCACCATCGTCATCATCATCATCATCACCATCATCACCAGCATCATCATCATCGTAATCGTAATCGTCATCATCGTCGTTATCGTCATCATCATCGTCATCATCGTCCACATCATCATCATCATCATCATCACCACCACCATCATCATCATCATCATCATCATCATTGTAACCATCATCATCGTCATCATCATCATCATCACCATCATCGTCAACGTCGTCATCATCGTCGCAATCAACATCACCATCACCATTACCATCACGATCATCACCATCATCATCATCATCACCATCACCATCACCATGGTCATCGGCATCATCATCATCGTCATTAACATAATCATCATCATTGCCATGAGCATCCGTCATCATCCCCATTACAATCACCATAACCATGTCCATCTCCATCATCATTACCGCCGTCTTCATCGTGATCATCAGCAGCATCAGCATCATCATCGTCACCATCACCATCAGCATCACCATCACCATCATCGTAGTCATCGTCATCGTCATCATCATCACCACCATCATCATCATCATCATCATCATCATCATTGTCATCGTGATCGTCATCGTCATCATCAGCAGCATCAGCATCAGCGTCACCATCATCATCATGGCCGTCATCAATGTCACAGTCACCATCACCATGACCATCATCATCAGCATCACCATCACCATCATCGTCATCGTCATCATTAGAATCATCCTCACACCCGCCATCATCAACATCACAAATACCATCAGTACAACCATCTCTATCACCATCACAATGATCATCATCATCGATAACATCGCCATCACCATCACCGTCATCATCATCATCATCAGCATCAGCATCCTCATCATCATCATCATTTCCATCGTCACCGTAATTACCATCGCTATCACCATCATCAGCAACATCATCATCACTCCTCATCCTACGTCGTCTCCCTCTTCCCCATCCCTCCTCTGCCTCCTCACTCCTCCTCTCTCCTTCGCCTAATCCTCCTCCTCCTCCTCCTCCATTTTCTTTCCGTGTGGACAACTCCCCCTTGTCGCACCCCGAGGACGGTCGAAAGGGCGGGCTTAGCGCTTCGCCTAAAATTTTCTCAGCATGTATGACCCTGCTGCTGCAAGAAAAAAATGGCAACTGCTCCACAGATTGAGGGCGGACGATGTTTAACATGTGACTCTCGCCGTAGCTGCGCGCACTTTCGTTTTCAAAAACTCGCAAGAGCTTCATGGATTGAGGGTGGCTCTGTGTCAACGCGTAGCTCTCGCCGTAGATGCGCGCAAATTCGTTTTCAAAGATTTCAAGGAGCTTCACGGGTCGTTTTCAAAATGTGGCTCTCGCCCTAGCGCCGCGCATATTCGATCCAAAAAATGCGAATGTATAGAGGATTGAGGGCGGGTCGTTTTCCAAATGTGGCTGTCGCCTTAACGCCACACACATTCGATTCAAATACGTAGTTTTCGAAAGTTTCGCGGTGTGAGGGCGGGTCGTTGTTCAAATGTGGTTATCGCCTTAGCGCCTCGCACATTCGTGCCAAAAAATCTGCAAGAGCTTCAGGGATTGAGGGCGGGTCGATTTCAAAATGTGACTCTCGCCTGGGCGAGGCGCACATTTGCCAAACAAACTGCAAGAGCGTCACGGATTGAGGACGACTCCTGTTCAAAATGTGGCTCTCGCCTTAGCGCCGCGTACACTCGCTCTAAACATTTGCACGAGTTTCACTGGTTCTCATGGTTAGCGTACCATTCTTTTTGGTTGGAACGATTCAGGACTATCAGGGCGCAGCAGTTACATCGAAGTCCCAGGAATAGTGTCCTGGCACGACCCAGGATCGCCAAGACGTAGCAAACAGATTACCTCGTGGCGTTGAAGTCCTGAGAATGGTGTTTTGGCACGCCTCCAGATGTTCACACGGTTGATCCCAAACGGGGCAATTCCCCCGTTGGAATGACCACTATGGGGCATACGACGAGGGATCTGGGAGGGAGGGTGTATTTCAACATCGCTGATGGGTTTTAGCTTTAACCTGGTCCTCCTCCTCCTCCGCCCTTCCCCAGGGCGCCTGGGCACTTTCCATCATCATCACCATCACCATCACCATGACCATCACCATCAGCAGCAGCAGCATCAGCATCACCATCATACCATCACAATCATCATCATCATCCGGTCATCATCAGCAGCAGCATCAGCATCATCATCATCACCATCATCATCGTCACCGTCATCATCATCAGCAGCATCATCATCAATTGTCAGTAGCATCACCCTCATCATCATCATCATCATCATCATCACCCTCATAAGCATCATCATCAGCAGCATCAGCACCACCACCACCACAACCCAAACCACCACCACCACCATCATCGTCATCATCATCATTATCATCATCATCATCATCATCGTCATCATCATCATCATCAGCATCATCATCATCACCATCATCATTATCACCATCATCATCATCATCATCATCAGCATCAGCATCATCATCATCATCATCATCATCATCATCATCATCATCATCATCATCATCATCATCATCATCGTCATCATCCCTCCTCATCCTCCCCTCCTCCTCCTCCTCCTCCTCCTCCTCCTCCTCCTCCTCCTCCTCCTCCTCCTCTTTGTTCTGCTCCCCCTCCTCCTCTCCTCCTCCTCCTCCTCCTTCTTCTTCTTCTTCATATTATTATTCTTATTACTATTATTCCTCTTCTTCTTCTTCCTCCTCTTCCTCCTCCTTCCTCCTCCTCCTCCTCATCCTCCTCCTCCTCCTCCCCTCGCCAGGGCGCCTGGGCACTCGCGGCCGGGGCCGGCATCGCGCCGGCTCGCTGCTGCGGCTGCGCTCCGCGGCCCATGTCCCCGCCCCCTGGAGCCGAGGCCGCGGGCGGCGGCCCCAAGGGAGACGGTCCTCCACGGGCCACCGCTCGGACGTCCATTCCCCGTGCTTTTTTGTCGATGTCGTACGTGCATGTGCTTTCGCGTAGCTGCTTCGCTTCAGGCTTCCGCTCAAGGAGCCATCCAAGCGCGCTCCCGTCCGCTCCTAGGCGGGCCTGAGGACAGGCAACAGAAACTCTGAGCTGTCGTCGCCGAGGAGACGAATCGACTCTCGACGAGCTCGGTCTCATCCTCCGCCTCCGCCTCCTCCTCCTCCTCCTCCTCCTCCTCCTCCTTCTCTTCCTCCTCCTCCTTCTCCTCCTCCTCTCCCTCCTCCTCTCCCCTCCTCCTCCTCCTCCTCCTCCTCCTCCTCCTCCTCCTCCTGCTCTCCCCCCCGCCCTGAGACGCTTAAGTTTGCACTGGAGCCGAGTCACCGATCGCCAGTCGGAGCGTAGGATGGAATCTCTTGCTCGCGAGAGGATCTGGTGTGCTCCTCGAGGGCCCTCGCCGCGAAAAGTGCACAAAACCCGAGCGATGCCAAGTCGAAGGAGGCCGGTGGCGAAGAGCGGCGGCCGGCCAGCACCTGCGAGGGAGGGGGCGGCCCCGAGGGGCGATCCCTCCGGCTCCGACGCGGGCAGCAAGTCGGTGCCGCCCCCCCCAAGGTGTTGACGCTGAGCTGCGCTGTCAGTGCCTCGCTGTCCTGGGGCTTTGCCGTGTTCTTGCTCGCGAGAGAAGGTTTGGCACGCGTGCGGAGCTGCACCGTCAGTGCGGCGCCTGCCCGCGGCCTCTGCTGCGCGCCTGCTGTGAACGCACACCGCTCGAGGCGGCGGCGAGCTTGAGATATCCATCCGACAAAATGACCCCAGCGCAACCCCAGTTAGGGGAGCGCGTCCTATGCGGCATTACTTGGCACTGCTTAGCTTTGCTTGGCATGGCTCGGCATCTCGTTTCATTGCTTGACAGCGCTTGGCACTGCTTAGCACCGGTTGGCGCTAATTTGCATTGCTCTGCAATGTTTTGCGTTACTTGCCATTGCTCTGCTTTGCAAGGCTTCACATGGCCTGGCATTGCTTGGCATCGCTTTGAATTGCCTACTATTTCGATGCATTTGCTTGCGTTGCCTGGCATTGCTTCAAAACCAGTCAGGAAACAAGACCAGGGAAGCCAAGAAACCCGAGCAATGAGGACATTCCAGAACATGGGGAGACAATACCAACTAGACCTTGGGAGCCCGGGGAACCCCGAAGAACGCAAGGAAGGCTGGTCTTTCAAAAACAACAAGGAAATTAAGACCAAGAGGACACGAAACACAGGGAACCCCGAGGAATGCAACTGTAAAGACGCAAGACCAAGAAACCCCAAGGAACACCACTGCAAAGAAGCAAGACTGGGGAACCCTTGCGCGACCGTGTCCGGCACCCACCTGTTTCGTTACAAAGAAGTACGTATGGTATCGTATCGTATCGTATCATATCGTATCGTATAGTACTACATTTGACTGTATCGTATTGTATGGTATGCTATTGTACTGTGTCGTATTGGACTGGATTGGATTGGATTGGATTAGATTGGATTGCGTTGCATTGTATTGTATTGTATTGTATTGGATTGGATTGGATTGGATTGTATTGTATTGTATTGTATTGTATTGTATTGTATTGTATTGTATTGTATTGCATTGCATTGCATTGCATTGCATTGCATTGCATTGCATTGCATTGAATTGCATTGCATTGCATTGCATTGCATTGCATTGTATTGTATTGTATTGTGTTGAACTGTATTGTATTGTATTGCATTGTATTGTAGTGTATTGTACTGGATTGTATTGTATTGTATTGTATTGTTTTGTATTGTATTGTATTGTGTTGTATTGTATTGTATTGTATTGTATTGTATTGTATTGTACTGTGCTGTGCTGTGCTGTGCTGTACTGTATTGTATTGTATTGTGTTGTATTGTATTGTATGTTGTATTGCATTGTATTATATTGTATTGTATTGTATTGTAGTGTATTGTATTGTAGTTGTAGTTGTAGTTGCATGTGGATTTGCATTTGCATGTGTGTTTGCATTTGTACTTGCATGTGTAATGTGTTGTATTGGATTGTATTGTGTTGTGTGGTATTGTATTGTAAAATATTGTAATGCATTATATTGTAGTGCATTGTATTGTAACTGTATTGTTTTGCATAGTATTGGAATGGATTGATTTGTGTTGCAGTGTATTGTCTTTAATTGGATTGTGTTGTATTATATTGGATTGCATTGGATTGGATTGTACTGTACTGTGCTGTACTGGACTGTAGTGGATTGAGCTGTTTTGAACTGGTTTGTATTGTATTGTAGTGTAGTCTATTGGATTGCATTGAATTGGATTGTGCTGTGCTGTATGTATGTATGTGTGTATGTATGTATGTATGTGTATGTATGTGTATGTATTTATTTGTACATGTATGTGTGTATGTATGTGGGCCAATGGGCACACGGGGCCGGGGAAGCCGAGGAACCCGGGGAACCAAAGGAATCTGCGAGGAACGGGCAACGTAACAATAGGAGGCACCGGGGGCAGGGAACCCGAGTAGCCCGAGGAAGTCGAGGAACCCGATAAACCTCGGGGCAACGGGCAACGTAAGAATACAGGGCACCAACATTTAACTAAGTAAGAACCCATTAGGCAAGCCTGATTGGGGAACAAGTTGTGTTGATCGCTGCCCTCCACCCCAGGCGGCCCCGAGAAGGCCTCCGAGGTCCTCAAGGTAGCCCCGCGGCGCCAAGAGGCGGCCGCGAAGTTTCCCGAGCTGGCCCCACGAGGGCTCCGAGGCAGCCCGAAGACGCCTCCGTGTGGCTGCCAGGGCGAAAGGCCCGGGTCGGCGCTGGCGCTGCTGGAGGAGGCCGTGGAGGGCACGGCGGAACCGTGGCGGGATCACCCTCAGCGCGACCCTCAGCGCAGGAGGCGGCGCCAACACGGGCAGCGGGGCGATCGTCGTCGTCGCCGCCGTCGGCGCCATCGTCGGAGGAGCGCGACGGGGTATGAGTTCAACGGAGGATAAGAGGAAGCAGGCCATCAGAGGACCTCCTCCTCCGCCCCCCTCCTCCCTTCTCCTTGTCCTCTTCCTCCTCCTCACCCCTTCCTCCTCCACCTCCTCCTTCTTTCCGCGGGGCTTCCGCAGGCTGCCACCGAGGATAAAATGTCAATTTCTGTTACAATGGCCCGTTTCGATCAAAGCGAACATGGTGCGCCCAGTGTTAAGCCGATTTCCCTCTCGAAAATAAATGTCCCAGGCGTGGGGGAAGTTTGTGGGAAACCAAAAGATACCGATACCGCGACCCCCAGGGCCTCTCCCGAGATGCGCTCTGACCAGGATTTCGAGGCGAATCCAGCGGTGGCGACGAGGGTCTCCCAGGAGGCCCAAAAAGGGCAGCACGAGAGAAAGGCAGCGGCATGGGCACCTTTCCCCCCCCCTGACAGCTTTGAGTCGGCTGCGGGAGCCGTTTTCGGCGCGCGGGGCGCCGCGGCGTCCGGCCCTCGCGCCGCCAGCGGGCCCGTCGGCGCCGCCCCCCGGGCGCCCGAGCCCTGCCCCGGTGGCGCCCTCGAAGTCGAGGAGGCCCCCGGGGGCGTCCACTGCCTCGTGCGGCGCCCAGCGCGGCTCCTGCGGACGGGGCGCAGGAGGCTGCGCGAGTCCTACTCGGCGGCGAGCGGGGAGGGGGGGGGAGCGAGAAGGCGGAGGCCCGTCTCCGAGGGCGGCGGGGGCTTCTCAGAAGCCCTCGCGCCCTCTGAGGGGTCTGCTGCGTCTCCGTAGGAAGGCACCAACTATACACCAACACCGATCCTGGCCAGGATTGGTGTATACGCCCTCCTGCCTTGCGCAAGAAGGCATATACACCGATCCTGGGCCCAGGGTGATCCTGGGCCAGGATCGGTGTTGGTGTATAGTTGGTGCCCTCCGATCTCCGGGGAAGGCCCACAGAAACTGCGCAGAATTGACAAGCAGGTCACACCACTCGCAAAGTAACTGCTCGCACATGGCCTGGATCCGCCGCGGGGGGGGTACGACACATGACGTCGAAGCAAGCAGATGCATTTCGGACGCTTGCGAGTAGGCAGTCTGCGAGAGTAGTGGAACGCGCTCCGTGACAGGATGACGGGAGGCTTCTGGGCTTCTGTGAAAGCCTGGCCCTTCTCGCTTCTCCCTGGGCTCGCCGCCGGTATGCTGGAGGTTCGCGCGGCGTCGGCACGCGCAGAGGTTTTTCCCCGAAAGGGCTCCAGCCCAGAGGTTGACCTGTCCCCGGTGCCAAGTTCGCATAGGGCCAGCGGATTTTGTTTGCTTTGTGCTTGTTCGCGGACGCGGGACTCCGCTGTTCCGTTTCTCCGCACGTGTCACCTCGGCCCGTCCGCTTTTCGCCGGTAGTCGCAGGCTGCACCGAGTGGGAAGTGTGGAGAGTTGCTCATCGATGAATCGCGTCCTCTCCTTTGCCTTCCTTCCCCCACTCCGACGAAACAATCACGCTGGAAGAACCACTACAAAAAGGGCCAGCGGATTTTTCTCCGATCAATGACGAGGTCGCGCAGGGCCGGCGGATAAGCAACTGAGGATGCCTCCAGCGAGACGCTGCCTTTTCTTGGAAAGAAATCTGAAGGGGCCCTGGGGCACACAAATAAATACACACAAATAACCGGATTCCCCATAGTTCCCCATATATGTAAAATAAGTTTTTGTCTTCCCTCCACTTCCCATACTTTCCCATATGTTCCTGGGAATCGACGATGAGTTGTGTCTTTGAATGTTTCCCCTCCTGGAAATATTCCAATCGGTAAAGCACACGGTGAGGTGAACGCTTTCGTTTGCTGCGGGTGTCTCGAGCGAAACGCTTGTTTTGCAGAATTGGTTTGATGATTTCTCGAGCGAAACGCCTGCTTTGTCCTATACATTGCTCATCGCCTGGGGCTCGAATCCTTTGCGTTTTACGCGTCGTCCTATGTTTGCCCTGGCGAACGCCTCAGAGCGGGACAAGCGTGGGCCACGTGGGTTTCTAACGCCCCAGAGCGGGGCAAGCGTGAAAACACTTGGGTTCCTAACGCCCCAGAGCGGGACAAATGTGAAAATACATGGGTTCCTGACGCCCCAGAGCGGGGCAAGCGTGAAAACACATGGGTCCCTAACGCCCCCGAACAGAACACGCATGAAAACACGTGGGGTCCGAACGCCTCAGGGCAGGACAAACGTGAAAGCACGCGGGATCCTGACGCCCCAGGGCGGGAAAAGCGTGACAGCAGTTGCTTTCCAACGCTTCAGGACGGGACGAGCTGGAAAACACATCGGCTCCTCGGGCTCCAGAGCGGGGCAAGTGTGAAAACACATCGACTCCTCAGGCCCCAAAGCGGGACAAACGCGAAAACACGCACGCCCCTGACGCCCCCTGCGCGGGACAAGCGTGAAGACACATAGGTTCCTAATGCCCCAGGGCGGGAAAAGCGTGAGAGAAAACGCAGGCCCCTGACGCCCCCAGATCGGGGCAGGCGTGAAAACACAGATTGCAGGCGTGAAGACACAGATTGCTTCCTGACGCCCCAGGGCGGGGCAGGCGTGAAAACACGCGGGCTCCTCACGCCCAAGACCCAAGAGCGGGGCGAGCGCGAAAAAAGTGCGCCCGAATCCTGGGCGGGACCGGCGTGAACACGCGTCATCTCCTGACGCCCCAGGCCGGGACGGGCGTGAAGACACGTGGGCGCCCCGCGCCCCCGAGCGGCACGCGCGCGGAAACGCGCGGGGGGGCTCCCCAGAGCCCCAGCGCCGGGCAGGCGCGAGAGCGCAGGGGATCCTGACGCCACCAGGGCGGGAAGAGTGCGACAGCACGTGGGCGCCCAACGCCTCCCGGAGCGGGACAGGCGTGAAGACACATCGGTTCCCGACGCCCCCAGCGCGGGGCAAATGTGCAGACACGTGGGCTCCCAAAGCCCCCAGAGGCACGGCAAGCGCGAAAACGCTCGAGTTCCTAACGCCCAGAGCGGGACAAGCGGGAAAACACATGGGCTCCCAACGCCCCAGAGCGGGGCAGGCGTGAAAACACATGGGCTCCCAACGCCCCAGAGCGGGGCAGGCGTGAAAACACATGGGCTCCCAACGCCCCAGAGCGGGGCAGGCGGGAAAACACATGGGCTCCCAACGCCCCAGAGCGGTGCAGGCGTGAAAACACATGGGCTCCCAACGCCCCAGAGCGGGGCAGGCGTGAAAACACGTAGGTTCCTAACGCCCCAGAGCGGGGCAGGCGTGAAAACACATGGGCTCCCAACGCCCCAGAGCGGGGCAAGCGTGAAAACACATGGACTCCCAACGCCCCAGAGCGGGGCAAGCGCGAAAACACATGGGTTCCTAACTCCCCCAGGCGGGACAAGAGTGAAAACACGTGGGTTCATCCGCCACCGTGCCTCTGGGCACGGAGTTGGCATGTCCCCAGGTCCTTTGCCTGATCCCTGGAGCCTGAGTCCTCAGTCCTGACATGTCTTGAAGGGGCCCGGACCCAAAATTCTCGAGTCTTCCGGGGCTTGGCGCGTCTCCCCTGGGCTCCCCCACGTCTTGTCGCATCGAGGGGACCCCAAGGCAAGCCATAAGGGCCCCAAAAGGCCCCCAAGACCGTCCAAGAGAGCCCCGAGACGCCCAATGATCGCCCCAAGAAACCCAAGATGGGCCCGAGACGGCGCAGGCGGCCCCCAAGACGCCCCAAGAGGCCTCCAAGAGGCCTCCCGAGAAAGCCCTAAGAGACCAAATCGTCAATCTGACGTAGGTGTTTGGAAGATTTTGGCGTTCTCGCCTTTTCGGCGGTTCCGACGCTCCAAGACGGCCCAAGAGGCCCCCAAGACCACCCCAAAACGGACCAAGAGACCTCCAAGAGGGCCCTAAGACGGCCTGAGAGCGCCCCGAAACGGCCCAAGAAGCACCCACGACGGCTCAAGATGGCCCCAACACGGCCCCAAAAGGGGACCAAGAGAGGGAACACGAACCGAAAATCCGAGCTTTCCGCTCCAAGAGGCCCCGAGGAGGCCCCAAGAGGCGCCGAGGAGGCCCCAAGAGGCCCAGGAAGAGGCCCCAAGGGCCTCCAAACTACCACCAAGAGGCCACCGAGAGGCCTCCCACGAGACTCCAACGAACATCCAATAGGCGTCTTACCCACAATCCAGGCACGGTGGTGGGATACACCGAAGGCTGTTAGATAACAGCGCAAATGAAAACACGTGGGTTCCTGACGCCCCAGAGCGGGACAAGCGTGAAACAATTGGTTCCTAACGACCCCGAGCGGGACACGCATGAATCAAAGGCAGAACGTGGAATGGGAACTCCCCGATGCAATGTCCCGGCGGAGAACCGCGTCCTCCTCCCCCTCCTCCTCCTCCTCCTCCTCCTCCTCCTCCTCCTCCTCCTCCTTCTCATCGGCGCGGGCGGGTTGAACTGTGTCCTCTGGTTGCGGTTGCGGTTGCGCATGCGGGCGGGTTGAAATGTGTCCTCTAGGTGCGGTTGCAGTTGCGGTTGCGCCCGCGGGCGGGGTGAAAGGTGTCCTCTTGTTGCGGTTGCGGTTGCGCCTGCGGGCGAGTGGAAATGTGTCCTCTAGTTGCGGTTGCGGTTGCGCCTGCGGGCGGGTTGAAATATGTGCTCTAATTGCGGTTGCGGTTGCGGTTGTGCCCGCGAATGGGTTGAAATGTGTCGTCTAGGTGCCGTTGCCGTTGCGGTTGTGCCCGCGGGCGGGTTGAAAGGTGTCCTCTAGGTGCGGTTGCAGATGCTGTTGCGCCTGCGGGCGGGTTGAAATGTGTCCTCGAGTTGCAGTTGCGGCTGCGCCCGCAGGCGGGTTGAAATGTGTCCTCTAGGTGCGGTTGCGGCTGAGGTTGCGGGCCGGGTGAAAGGTGTCCTCCAGTTGCGGTTGCGGATGCGGTTGCGCCCGTGGGCGGGTTGAAACGTGTCCTCTAGTTGCGGTTGCGGCTGCTGTTGTGCCCGCGCGCGGGTTGAAATGTATCCTCTAGGTGCGGTTGCGGTTGCGGTTGCGCCCGCGGGCGGGTTGAAATGTGTCCTCTAGTTGCCGTTGCGGTTGCGCCCGCGGGCGGGTTGAAATGTGTCATCTAGTTGCGGTTGCGGTTGCGGTTGCGCCCGCGGGCGGGGTGAAAGGTGTCCTCCAGGTGCGGTGTCGGATGCGCTCGCGGGCGGGTTGAAATGTGTCCTCTAGTTGCGGTTGCGGTTGCGCCTGCGGGCGGGTTGGAATGAGTATTCTAGTTGCGATTGCGGTTGCGGTTGCGGTTGCGGGCGGGTTGAAATGTGTCCTCTAATTGCGGTTGCGGTTGCGGTTACGCCCGCGGGCGGGTAAAATGTGTCCTCTAATTACAATTGCGGTCGGTTGCGGTTGCGCCCGCGGGCGGGGTGAAAGGTGTCCTCTAGTTGCGGTTGCGGTTGCGCCCGCAGGTGGGTTGAAATGTGTCCTCTAGGTGCGGTTGCGGTTGCGCCTGCGGGCGGGTTGAAATGAGTCTTCTAGTTGCGATTGCGGTTGCGGCTGAGGTTGCGGGCCGGGTGAAAGGTGTCCTCTAGTTGCGGTTGCGGTTGCGGTTGCGCCTGCGGGCGGGTTGAAATGTGTCCTCTAGTCGCGGTTGCGGCTGCGGTTGCGGTTGCGCCCGCGGGCGGGTTGAAGTCTGTCCTCTAGTTGCGGTTGCTGTTGCGGTTGCAGTTGCGCCCGCTGGCGGGTTGAAATGTGTCCTCTAGTTGCGGTTGCGGTTGCTGCTGCGCCCGCGGGCGGGTTGAAATGTGTCCTCTAGGTGCGGTTGCGGTTGCGCCTGCGGGCGAGTTGAAATGTGTCCTCTAGTTGCGGTTGCGGTTGCGGTAGCGGTTGCGCCCGCGGGCGAAGTAAAATGCGTCCTCTAGTTGCGGTGGCGGTTGCGCCCGCGGGCGGGTTGAAATGAGTCTTCTAGTTGCGATTGCGGTTGCGGCTGAGGTTGCGGGCCAGGTGAAAGGTGTCCTTTAGTTTCGGTTGCGGTTGCGGTTGCGCCTGCGGGCGGGTTGAAATGTGTCCTCTAGTCGCGGTTGCGGCTGCGGTTGCGGTTGCGCCCGCAGGCGGGTTGAAGTCTGTCCTCTAGTTGCAGTTGCTGTTGCGGTTGCAGTTGCGCCCGCTGGCGTGTTGAAATGTGTCCTCTAGGTGCGGTTGCGGTTGCTGCTGCGCCCGCGGGCGGGTTGGAATGTGTCCTCTAGGTGCGGTTGCGGTTGCGCCTGCGGGCGAGTTGAAATGTGTCCTCTAGTTGCGGTTGCGGTTGCGGTTGCGGTTGCGCCCGCGGGCGAAGTAAAATGCGTCCTCTAGTTGCGGTGGCGGTTGCGCCCGCGGGCGGGTTGAAATGTGACCTCTATTTGCGGTTGCGGGGGCGCCCGAACGGTTTGAAATGTGCTCTCAAAAGTGCCTTTCCAATCAATTCATTTAAATTCAATCTGGAGGGCACGGAATTTCACCCCGCTTTCGCCGAGAAACATCGGGGTTCTCAACGCCCCAGACCGGTTTCTCTGCCGCGTTCCCTGCCCGTTCCGTGGCGCGTCCCTTGCCACGTCCCCTGACACGCCCCCTGGCGCATCCCCGAGTGCGCCCTTGGCACATCCCGCGACGCCTTTTTGGGACTCTTTCGGGCCGTCTTGAAGCACGCTGCGGTCGTCTTGGAACCCTCTTGGGCCGTCTTGGGGGGCTCTGGCCGTCTTGGGGGGCTTCTCGGGGCCCTCTGGGACACTTGGGGCTCTCTTGGGAACCCCTTGGGGCCCTCGAGAGACTCTTGGACAGTCTTGGGGCCCTCTTGGGCCGTCTTGGAGCCCCCCTTGGGCCCTCTTGGGGCAGTCTTTGCGGCCTCCTGTGCCGTCTTGCGGCGATCCTGAGGGCCTTCTGGGCCGGTTTCCGACGGCGTCCGATGGGCTGGGATCGCCCTAAGACGACCAAGGAGGACCCCAAGAAGCCCCAAAGGGCCCACTAGAGGCCCAAGGAGGCCCCCAAGGGGCCTCCAAGAAGCCTCCAGGAAGCTCCCGGGAGGTTCCAAGAGTGTCCCAAGAGGCTCCCAAGAGGACTCCTCCTCCTCTTCCTCCTCCTCCTCCTCCTCCTTTTGTCTTCCTCTCCTCATACTCCTTTTCTCCTTCATGTGTTCGCAGAAGGGTTTCCACAACGGCTGGGGGAACATATGGTCCGATAGTTTGGCCGAGCTCTGGTCCCAAACGCTTGGCCACAGAGGCGCTGTTCAAAAAGGCAGGGGGCGGCGGTGATTCAAATCTCTTACATTGTACAACAGATGCGCGCTCCCCAGGCCACACTCATGAATGTAAATTTCAATACATGCGTGCACCCGAGGCCACAATACCTTGTGAATAACGACGCATGGGCGGCCCCAGGGCCACAATGTCTTGCACATTGCGACACAGCATTTCCGAGGCCGTCGTCACTTATAACTATTACAGACCCGCGCAAACCGCCAGCAAGCAAACAGTCCAGACCAATTGCCGAACATCAACTTAGACAACAAGCCAATCAGCCCAGTCGCCAGCCAGCCAGTCAACCGACAAGACAACAAACCGATCAACCAACCGATCAACCGTGGCTATGCGAGCAACTAGAAAGGGGGCTGGAAGCAGAGGACGACGCCCTTCTGATAGTATCAAATAGCGAGATCGGCGGGTAAGTGGTGAGGTGGAAAGATACATAGATGGTGCCTCCGATCGGACGCAAACCATAAAGCGACAGCTGTGCCCATCCCCTCCTCCACCAAACTCCTTCTCATTCAAAGGGTGGTCCATGATGTAATTACGGGGGATTTCCCTGCTCCCCCTCCCTGTCGTCCTTTTCCGCCCTCTTCCCTCCTCCTCTCACCCTCTCCTCCCCTCCCCCCCTTCATCCCCCTTTCCCCCCTCTCCATCCACTCTCCTCCCCCCCTTCCCCCCTTCCTCCGCTCTGTCTCCTCCCCTCGTCTCCTCCCTCTCCCCCCCTCCTCCCTCCTCCTGCCTCCCGTCCTCGCCTCGCCCTCCCCCTCTTCGTCCCTCTGCCCCTCGCGCGACCAGGGGCGAACGGGCACTCTCAGCTGCACGAGAGAGAGAGAGAGAGAGAGAGAGAGAGACAGACCCCCGGCAAGAGCGACCTCCAGCGCGCAGTCTGCCACCCGTTGCGCACGCAGCCGCGGCAGCGTCCTGTGCGCTTGGGCTTGGCCCCTCGGCTTGGCCCCTCGGCGCACCCCGCGAAGAAAGGTCGCTCTTCCGTGCGGCCGGAACGTTGTCGACCCTGCGCACAAGTGTGACCTTTTGGGTGCGCGACCTCCGGGGCCTCCGGGGGCCGCGGGAACCCGGGCGCGCAGGACGCCGCTGTCGCATCTCGCTCCGCGATCAGGGAGCACCCGTGGGCCCGCACCAGAGGTCGCTCTGGCGAGTGGGCCACCCTTGCGTGCAGCCGACACTTTGATGGGTAAATTTTCCACCACCACTACCACATGTAGGACGGGGGAAAAGGGAGGATGAGGAGGTCTTCCTCCTCCTCCTCCTCCTCCTCCTCCTCCTCCTCCTCCTCCTCCCCAACCTCCTCCTCCTCCTCCTCCTCCTCCTCCTCCTCCTCCTCCTCCTCCTCCTCCTCCTCCTCCTCCTCCCTATGGGCCCATTTCACATGTCGCGCGCCCCTGAGGTGGCTCCGGGGCGCCGGGCCACGGCACGCAGGCGCGGTCCAAGTAGGCGCGGGTGGCGGCGGTGGGGTCCACGAGCACGCGCTGCGCCTGCGCCCACTTCTGACCTCAGCAGCAGCGGGGGGGAGAAGGAGGAGGAGGAGGAGGAGGAGGAGGAGGAGGAGGAGGAGGAGGAGGAGGAGGAGGAGGAGGAGGAGGAGGAGGAGGAGGATTTGTTTGAGCTCGACGCTCGCACCGCACATGACTGACTTCTGCAATGCGGGACCTGCAGGAGCGGCCGAACACCTCCCCAACAGGGGAGTGCCAGCAGCCAGAGCAGCGCCAACGGTCTGGGCCATGCCCCCGTGGCGTGCTAAGTGCGCGAAACAGGACGCGCAAGGAGACCGTGCTCCGCGCGCCCTGTTCGGGGCAGGGGGCGCCGGAGTCCGTGTTCCGACGGCCAACGTACCCACCACCCACTCCATGGGTGGCCGCTGGCAACGAGAGCAATTTTCTCTCCCCTTGGCCCCCTACGGGCAAACAAGGGTAACGATCGGGCTGCTACCCGCCTGTATTCTTGGGAAGGGGTCCCAATGGCACAGGTGCCGAGGAGGAGGAGCATGGAGGAGGAGGAGGAGGAGGAGGAGGACGAGGAGGAGGAGGAGGCGGAGGAGGAGGAGGAGGCGGAGGCGGGGGAGGTAGGGGGAAACGTTCGCCAGCGGCGCGCCTGGGGGGAAGGCGGCGGGGCTTCTCAGAGACCCTCGCGCCTCATGATTGTGTTCGTGTGTTCGGGGAAGGCTTGGGAACCTTCTCAGAAGACCAGAGGCCTTCGGAGCCTTCTGGGAAGGGCCGCCCCTTCTCACTGCCCCGCGCCGCCGAGCCAAGGGGGCGATCGGTTGGGGGAAGCATCGAGCTGGAATCGGCGATGCATCGCCGATAGATCGGCGACAGGACCCCGATGGCCAATCCGCACGCTACTGGGCAGGGTGGGCTGTCAGGCCCCAATCGACGATGAATGGTCGTTTGAGTGTCGATGCATACCTCTCTGAGCCGACAGTCTGGAACTTTTGCTGAGCGTGTCGCGGCGGCGGCCCCAGCGACACGCTATGCCTGGCAAGCGGATAGTCTGTCGCTCCGCTCCGCGGGGCGGGAAGCTCGGAAAGGCTCTTGGGCCGGGAAGCGGATAGCGTGCGCGCCAAAGCGTGGCGGGCCAGAACCGAACTGGCGGAGCGACACGCTATCCCCCACACTGACGTTCTGAAGGAGGTGGGCCGGACTCCCCGCGATCCAGGCCGATACGGCGCCTGATCCCGATACGATCCCAGCTGGCGGGTCAGCCCAGCCCGCCAACGCGCCGAGGGGCGCCAGCGCCCGAGGAGGCGCGATCGATCGATCGCCCCAAATGGGCGATCGCGCCCCGACGCGACGGGGCATGAAGGTGGGGTAGGGGTCTATTATTTCTCATTGCATTGATCTTTCTCCATCCACGGACGCGTGTCATAGCCGACCTGGAACTCTAGAAAGGACTCCATGGTGTCATGCGCAATTGGCTAAGGGGATCCGCGCACATATGAGAAGGAGGATGACAAGGAGGAGGAGGAGGAGAAGGAGGAGGAGGAGGAGCAAACGTAACCTGGCGGCCAGGTTCGTCCGCTTAGCCGCGCCGCGGCCGCACGCGCACGCCGCCCACCAGGGCGGGCGGGAGCTTCCGTCCGTGCCTGGCGGCAGCAGCGGTCTCGCACTGCCTCTGCACTGGCGCGAAAAGGCTCGCGCAGGGAAGATACGCACTGTTGGAGCATGCGTGCACGGAGCGGGAAGAGACAGAGGACGAAACAACAACACACACCCATACCCATGGGGGGATCGGAGAGGGCCATGGGTGCGTGTTGTCGGATGGGGGCCCCCGCTCGAACGGGAGCGTTCCCCAGGGTCCGACAACCCGCACCCATACCCATAGCCGGTCCTCCTCCCAACGACCTCCCTATGGGTATGGGTGCGTGTTGTTCGTTCGTCAACAGAGGGGGATGCGGACGTTACCACCGCCGCGCCGACGCCGCACCGCGGAGGGGCAGGAGAGAAGAAGGGAGAGGG